GTTGGATGGCAGAACCAGGAAGAGATTACCTTCAACTGTGATTGCGAAAGTCGAGAGGAAGACAAAGACGAGGATTTGAATCCGTTCCTCAGGGAAGATCACAGAGACCAGCCGAGTTGGATGGCAGAACCAGGAAGAGATTACCTTCAATTGTGATTGCGAAAGTCGAGAGGAAGACAAAGACAAGGATTTGAATCCGTTCCTGTTCCTCAGAGAAGATCACAGTGACGAGGAATATCGACCACGTCGTTCTGATACCCAATACCAAAGAAGGTTGAGAGAAGATGTTAGTTATGGGAGGTAGTGCGACTTTAACATCAAGATGGACCTCCCAGAATTTGAGGGAGATATGGATCATGATAAGTTTATCGACTGCTGTAATCAATTGAACAAATTTTTGAATATAAAGATGTACCAAAGGACAAAAGAGTCAAGCTATTTGCCATTAAACAAAAAAAATACCTCCTCTACAAAAGCAGAGGAAAAGATAATGCAGTGAGAAGATAACTTGGTGGGAGAAGATAAAGAAGGTGATGTAGAAAAAATACCTCCCACCCCACTATCGCCAATATATGTTTATGAAATTCCAAAACATGCAGTAGAGGATCTTTCAGTTGAGGAATTCACAACCCAATTAGACCACTTGCAACTTAAATGTGAGCTGATGGAGCCAAAAAAATATATGATAGTTAGATAACTTAGGGGTCTGAAACCCGCTATCTGAAATGTGGTACAATTGCGCCATATTGGATACTAAGGGATGTCCAAACATTAGCATTGAAGGTGGAAAGACAACAGATGCAAAACAGGTAACAACCATCCTTTAGGCAACAAGCTTCAGACAAGAAACCACCACAACTGACAAGGGCATCACAGGAGAGACTAGCCATCCCGAACACAGGAATAACAATCCGAATAAGAACGAGAAGCATGAGAAAGGTAGCGCCTTCAATACTGTACCGGCCAAGAAATGTTTCAAATGTCATGGTTACGACATATAGTGTCCAGCTGTCCCACGAGCAGAGTAGTCTCACTTACTGATCAGGGCATCGTGGAAGAGATAAACAATGAGGAGAAAACCTGAAGAACAAGATAAGTGTCAGCTTCCCCCAGATGAAGGGGAGGTGCTCGTGATTCGATAAATCCTGCAAACTGAGGACACTGGGGATTCTCATTAGCTTCGCCGCAACATATTATACATCTGTTGCATAATGAACAAAAAAGTATGCAATCTGATCATCGATAACAGAAGCAATAAGAACATGACATCGACACAAATGATAGAAAAATTGAGACTTGTGACTTAAAGGCATTCCCATCCATATTCGCTGACTTGGTTGAAAAACTAAACCCTAATTAGCATCAACTGAAGATGCTTGATAGAATTTCCAATCAGAGGCCAGCTATAAGACCATGTGCGGCGCAATATGGTTGCAATGGATGCTGCCTCCTTTTGTTGAGATGACTGTGACAGTTTGACTGAAGGACTTAGCACAACAGATATAGAGACACCTATTCTTTCATGAAGGACGGGAAGCGCAACACCATCCTTCCTTTGACGGAGCTCGAGGTCACAGGATCTCTTATCAACAGAGCAACGTCAGTGAGACTAGTTTTAGTAATGACACCATATGAGAGTACCGAGACACCCACCTCAGATACAAGAGAAATACGACCGAGGTTATGTCTGGTCGGCGTTATACCAACAGCATCACCGTCGTGTAAGAATGGTCAGATTACTCTCACTGCATGCCCGTCTGCACCGATTGTGGGTAACTTGGAAAGATTTAGCATGCATGGTCTACGGCCTCAGGAGGACAGATTGATACGGACCATTGGCTTGCAAACTGAGGAAGACCCTCAAATACCTTGGGCACCAATACAGTCGCCAGTGGGATCCAAGGTGGCTGAAGACAAAAACCAAAGCTTTGACCTATGAAGTCAAAGCTCCCCCAACTCCAGAAGTGACGCAGGTGTTCAAACTCAGCGTCCCGATAAAGGGTGCTTCGATCCCGCCGGCCAGAAGACCAATAAAGTCTCGCGCGAACTGTAGGCGGGCGGGATCACGATTCTCACCGAGGCTCGCAATCCTTTGCGAAACAGGGGCGACGCTTGTAGGTATTTCGGGAAGGGTTTTTCAAGATCCTTCTCACCTTCCCATCCTTTTCTTTTGTATAGATCTTTCTTGGAAGCCTATAAATTGATGGCCTTGTGTGTGTGGGAGTCAGTAATATTTATGTTTATTCTCAGATTCCTATGTGGAGTTCTTTTCCTCTTTGTGGGTTGTATCTGATAAGATGGTGGTGCTTCGACTGTGTCCCCTCTTATGAGGTGATTGTATCATCCCTTTTTACCTTCACCAAACCTTCTCCACCCCACTCCTCAGCCGCCAAACTCTCCCTCCATCATCCCGACACCCAACCACTCCCCATTCCTGCAGGTTATTACTGTTTTCCCGTCCCCTAACACCTTTCAGCTTCTCCCAACCACCAAACTACCATTGCCGACCACCAGCAACCCTTCCAACTTGTTGTCCATACAGTTCCGCACCTTCCATTCGGCATCCCTCCCAATCAACTCTATCCCCGAGCAAACCTCCACCACCCATTGGGATACATTTAGAAGTGCTCGCTTGTGTCGTTTAATGCTTTGTGTTGTTATTTACATTCAATTCATGTTGTAACCCTTTTTAATATTAATGAAAATTTGTTTTTGTGTTTCTACTATTTTTTCTACTAGTTCTGGTATCAGTTATTCCCGTTGAGTGCAACATGAGGTGTTAATGTGGCTTTGACTATTGCATGTAGGACATTCAGCTAGAAGAAGAGGAGGATAAATTATGCAGATAACATATGATGTGTTCAGCCATAATAATTATATAAGAGATCTTGGAGCCTAACATAGAAAAAGAATAAAGTTATTTGTTGTGTTGTGCAGTCGAGTAGGTCAACACTAGATTTGTTTCTAAAGACAATAATATATGCATGGCCCCATTAATGTTTGGCAGCGAGTAAAATAATATAATACTATTTAATATCAAAAAATAGGAAGGATAGTTATGGTAGAATAATATAATACTATTTAATAATAAAAAATTGAAAGGATAGTTATGCAAGAGTTATGGAATTGGTAAGAAGTTTGTGCACCCTTTTCTTCTGGTTTGAACATTTAATAACCAAAACATGAACGCCATCATGTCATTTACCTTCTTGTCATTTTTCAAGTCATAAGATGAAAAAAATCTCGTTCACTCATTGCATAAATTATTAAATCTTTAATGCTTTGAGCTTTATTAGTGATGCAATTTTTCCATGCAACCAAGGGTTAAGTGAGAACCAAAAAGATGATGTTTAAATAATAACTAGATTAAGGCCTTCCCCTTCATGTGGATGAATCCCTTGATCTTCCTTGCCATCTTATTTCTTGATTGATTCCTTCATTTTTATACAATAGTTTTTCTCAATCAAATCTTCTGATGCCTCAATCACAGAAATTGGAGACATAAAAAACAACTACAAGAGCCTTGGATAGTTTAAAAAGAACAATTGGAGAGAAGATCAACTAGGCTGATAGGAGAGAGAATTGAACTCTTCATTAAACTATTCCATAGATGATAAAAGCCTAAGTGCCTCATACGTGCTATTATTTTTAGAGAAAAGATAAAAAAATGACAAACACAAATTTAAATCATAGCAAACCATAAAGATAGATTATTGGAAAGATCTTCTCCTTATTACATGCTTCAAATGTTGTGGCCAACCCCTATAGTATGCTAAGGAGACTACTGTAGTTTCAATACATATCTCACATTTTAAACTCATTCTTATCTTTGCATCCTTATTTGATTATTTACTTTCCCACTGAGTATAATGCGGTCGAACCAAACAAAAAAGCAGGGGGAAAAGGTCCTGGATCCTGTACTTGTGCTCCATGCACACTAATATTATGCAAAAGTGATAACTTTCATGCATAAATTTTGTTTAGTTTTTAATAGCTGTAGCATTGATGTAGATATAATATTTTGTCTAAGACTTCTGAAACCAAATTCGAAGTTTCTGAACCTATAATTGAAGGAACCTTATTAGTAATATAACCTGAGCAAAATATAGTGCCAGTAATAAGAAATTATGCATTCAAACCTTAAAATCAACATTTCTTCCTAACAAATGTATGATATCAGAGGATTGAAAAGAACTACAAATGCAATGTATAAAAGATACAATTGTAGAAATCTCATAAGTTGAACCTTTCATTGAGTGTTGGCAAGCTCATAGATAAAGCATCTTTATAACAAAATTACAATACAATAAAGCCAAAAATTGTTGAAGGAATGACTTTTTGTATGGTAAGATGGTCTAACAAATTAGAAAAAAAACATAAAGGCAATAAAAAATAATAATAACTATCATTTATATTAAAGAAATACCTCATAGACAATTATGAAATTATCTTTTATCAAGTCCTCATTTAATCCTCCAAGATAACCCGTCAAAACATTAGCCACTCTACAGAGAAACTGCACCACCAAAGATAGCCCAATTTCAGAATATAAACACTCTCCAGCAAAATAATATCCCTAAAAAGGGATGGATGATACTAAGGCCTTGGAAATTAATAAATGTTACATCTAATAGATTGGATTACGTGACAAATGAAACTACCAAAACATGGAAGAATGACAGTGAGGCATTTGATACTATTAATAGTTTCAGGTCGTATTCAAACCATAATCATTACAAATATAAAAGCTTGTACGATAACAAAGGTCAAACATAAACCTTATAATGAATACATGGTTATTGGGGTGTTTGTGCCTTTGTGCCCTTGATAATTAGATACTGTGAGACAAGCTGTTAGATTAGCATTGAGGAACTTAGTTAGTGAGACAGTAAAAAATGCAAGCAAATAATCTAACATTAGACTTCCCTTAATTGGTCACAATAAAGTTTGCATCACGGAGTCCCATATAAACACGGAGTATATAAACAGAAAGAAATGCAAGCTAAATAGAAAAATATCCTTAACATGCCCAATTCCTTTTGTATTATGTGAGAGCGACCAAAATAATAAAAAAACAAAAGAAACGGAATTATTCAAGTTATTAAGAAATTTTGGTCATTGAATTTTTTTCAATCCAAGGCTTTGGTTTACACATGCCCCAGAAGGATGAATTAGGCATTTTAGCTTTTTCAAAATCTTCTTAGTTTTTAAGTATTTCTAGATGAAACTTGAATACCAACTAAATTGAGCAAGTGAAGAGTATATTAAAGTTTACATTCCAACAACAAATGGAGAATATTAATACAACTAAGCACACCAAAAACTAAAAATTTTTATGTGAGTTAATTGCAGTCTATGTCCACAGCTAAGATTTTTGCAAAACATATACTAAAATAAATCGTTACCTTTCATTACCTCAGGAAAACCTAACTTCCACAAAGACAGCCTCCCTATCTCATTTTTCTAAGCAAAAATAAAGTTTTCACCGTGTTCTCTATTAGAACACTCGAGAAAAATTCAATATGAGTAGAATAAAATGAGATTGTGCCTTAAGAAATATAGCCTAACATATAAAAAAAAAACATCAAGAGAATGCATCATGATCAAATAAGCTCCTTTTCCTTTGAATCTCAAAGTTACTTTGAATTCTTTCTGGAGAAAACAAATTGATGACTAACTTAAGAAAAAGAGAGGGATAGGGCGCGTAAATATTCAAAAATAACCTAAAACCTTGAGAAAATAATTATATTAGATTACTAAGTTTCCAACAAATTAATTAAAATAATAAATTAAGATTTTCACAATTATTATAATAGCCATTGTTCCAGATTTTGCATATCAACAATGCTGATTAGATCCCAAAAATAGTTTAAGAAATCTCATTATAGAAGTTAAGAGTTATCAGATTTTAACCTTTATAAAAGCCCATAAAGAAAACTCGTTATATTATTTTCAAAAGGCCAAATTCTATATCTATATCTATATACATATACATACTATTTCTCACCAGAAAGAGAGCTAAAATAGACTAATATAAGAAAATTAAAATTAACAATAAGTCGACATTATCATTATCATCATCCTCAGAACAGGTAACGTCTTTGAATGGCCTTTCCCGAGTAGGCCAATGCACAGTCATCCAACCTAGTAAGCAACTGATTCACCCCAGTACCCTTAATATGTTTGCTAGTTATCTTTGTATGGTAGAAAATGAAGTGCTAAGGTGAGGGGACCAATCACTCCATCATAAGAGCGCGTTGAAAATTGAAGGGTGAAAAGGTGTGAGTTGTCATCAACTGAGTATTAAGGTCAAGATTTGGATACTTGTGAGTGATAACGAACTCAATTAAGTAACCGAGTCTCGGGTTATTTGACCATTTATAGGATGGGTCCTGTAGGCACCTGATTTGTTGCATAAATGTAAAAGTCATGCCTAGAGAATCAATTAGCAAATGATAAACAATATAATAGTTGGCTAGAAAAAGAGCATGATTCAAATTACAGGAGTCACTAGCTTTTTGTAAGGTTGAATGCTAAAGGATATACTAAACGTAATATCTTTCAAGGGACACAGAATAAAACCTTGCAATAATTTCCCAAGACAGCTCGTTCTAAAGTTTAGGGTTAATGTTTGAGGGACACAGAATAAAACCTTGCAATAATTTCCCAAGGCAGCTCGTTCTAAAGTTTAGGGTTAATGTTTGATAATTGAAAAAAATTGCAAATTTTTATTGCACCGATTTGTTCACTATGGATTGGCAACAAACCTAGGTGACAAGGGACTCTACGGTGATTTTATATGATCTAATTCCCCAAGTCATATAGCTGTAAAAGACACCAATAAAGCTAGAAATAAATGGGTAGGCATATTGAAGAAGAAAACGGTTAACCCTCGCATATACTCCACAAGGCGATTCGATCGAACATGATGAGATCAGCAAACAAAGATTACGATACAGCGCAATCAAATTTTGGATGTCGCGATCAGGTTTAAAATTCTCCTCAAACAATGCCCGTTTGTAAAACTGACTACACCAAGACATTTAAAGCATCAAACTACTTGAGGGGTTGTTCATGATCAAATGGAGCAAGCACAAAAAAAAGATGAACTGCTAGTGCGATGCAAGTGAATCAAATTCGAATCACCTCAACTGAAATTGCTCAAACATGACGTACAATCATAAAATAGAATGCATGAACGCATCCGAAATATCAAAATTATCTATGAAAAGACCTTTCGCAATCGAAATAACCAAATAAGGTGAAACTGAAAATTTATCGGTATGTCCTAGTAATTAAGCTCGAATCACCCCCATCATTGTTGAAGTTGCCCAAACAACCTCTGATCATAAATTGACCGCGTGAACGCGTCCAAAACCTTGACTTTACCTAGGGAGGACACCTATATCATTGTATTTTTGTATTTATCGGTGGTGCATAAACGAAACATTTAAATTAAGTACTCGTATGTGTTTCATGTGCTTTATACTATGTAAGTAAGGATGCCAAAAACGCTTGTTCGCGAACAACTCATGTTTGGCTCATTCATTAAGTAAATGAGCGGAACACAGCTCGAGTTTGGCTCATTCATTAAGTAAATGAGCGGAACACAAACAACTCTTTGTTTGCTCGAGTTCAGTTCACACAGCTCGAGTTCGGTTCGTTTTAGCTTGAAATAAAGAAATTATATATATTATTTATATAATAATATATTACATATTTATATCTAACTTTAAAACATAAGAGCACGTGTGGTCATGTGGTCGCGTCTTTTATTGTACATAGTTGGTGCAGGTTCAAATCCAACACCCTGCATCTATTTTTTTCAATTAATTTTAACGAGACAATTTTGAGCCGACCACGAACACACTTTTCATGAGCCAATTGTGAATACAATTTTAACGAGACAATTTCGAGCCGACCACGAACACACTTTTCATGAGCCAATTCTGAATACGAGTCGATTTCGAACACAAGTAATTTCGAATGAGCCGAACAAGAGCCAAGCCTGAGCTCGCTCAAGCTCGGCTCGTTTACAACCCTATGTGCAGCTGACACATGTACACACTTTTCTTAGCGTGGTGGGGAAATCCTATTGCATTTGTCTTTATAGGTTTAAAGACTATGTGGTACTACTTTAAGGTCGTGGCGCAATCCACCTATACAAGCCTTTCATGTCGTAGTGGGTAGACCCAAACTCCTGATGCAGCAACCCAATGAGAGACAATGCCAGGAGGTTGTCGAAATACTGTCGGATTTTATGGGAAATTTAAAAGGACTTAACATGATTTAAACTGTGCATAAAATGAATTTAAAAGTGAAGTAAATGAAACTTGAAAAGAAATTTAAACAAATGCAAAATACTTAAAAAAAGAGAAGTGAAGATGCATCAGCTAAAAGAAAAAAAATGGGCTTGAAGGCTTGCCTGAAAAACTCGCCGCACAAAGCAAGCAAAGTCGTTCTTCTCCCAAGAATTACAATGCATGAAATGAGCTGAACCATAGGTTTCTATTTATATAATAAAAGATACTTATGTGGGGCCCACTTTGATTAAAAAACAAATGAAAATAAGTCTTGTCGTCCAAATTAACGTTGAAGGTTTAATTCACTTGCAAACAAATTTTGTCGCCCATATTTATGTGAAAGCTTTAATATACATAAATCCAAACTTCGCCACCGGATCTGCAACCTCTTTATAAAAGCAGACATAAGGCGGCATTAAGGAATTAATAATAAAACTCTACATGAGTTAAAGTGCAATACACAAATAAAAAAAATTTGACTAACTTCAAGTTTTGCACGAGTGACACAACCTCACCTTCAAATTTAATTCACATCGAAAAGCGTGCAAGTTCTCTAAATTTTACCTCAAATCTTTAAAGGCTAAAAACCCGCATGTGATCCGTCACTTATTCTAAGTCTCCTAATCTTAAGCATCTGAGAATATTGCGCAGCTTAATTGCATGTTTAAGCTCAAATTTAATGTGCTTTGAAATGCATGCAAAACTATATAGAAATCAACTCAAACTAATAAAATTCACCGACATGTGCTTAGTCTCTTTTAACGAGCCTCCTAATCTTAAGCGTCTATGAATGCTACCTGGGTTAACTGAATGCTTAAGCTATGATATATTTTTGCTTTGAAATTTGTGCAAAGCTATATAGAAATTAATTCAAACCAATAAAGTTTACCAGCATGTGCTCATACATGTCCATGAATACTCAGACTTGAGCTTCTAAGAATGTTGTGCAATTTAAGTGTATGCTTAAGGTAAGATATAATTTGTTTTGAAACACATGCAAAGTTATATAAAAATCAACTCATACCAATAAAGTTACTCGCATATGCTCCGATGTGTCCCTAATTACTCAAACTCGTGCGTCTGAGAATGTTGTGCCTATTAATTGCATGTTTAAACTAAAATATAATTTACCTCGAGAAGCGTGCACGCATATCAAAGTTTTGAAAAAAAATTTAATTTTTTAAATGTCAAATTCAAATATAATTAAGCACCTTTTCGGGCAAGTTGCCTTGCCTATAGGGTGAGGTCATAAGTCTTATATTTTGACCAGTACAATCCTCCTCCCTAAAGCGACCGGAGTTGACAAGTTTGAGCCCCCACTGAGCCAGTCTGATCTTCCTCCTCATGAGGACTGGAGTAGATAGAATTAATACGGTTAATGATGTTTAAATAATAATATTCAATGATGGCCATATTTGTTAAACATTTCAACCGAAGAGGGTTTATTCATAAGATAAAATTTTTGAATCATAAAAGGATAATATTTATGTA